GTAGTCGCCAGTCGACACTGGCCGGCAGATGGGATTCGGAGGAGGCCTAATCTGTGGGATCTGATCGGTCTAGTGGAGGTAATTGGTTATGTGCTAAAATTATGATCCATTTGAAGGCCAGAAGCAGACTCTCATGAATGTGGCTTGATCTACAGTGAATCATAATTCTTTGAACAGGCTGGCCGGGTAGCTATCAATACAACTAATAAAAATCTGGTCTTCGTTTCTAAACACAATTGCATTCCACCAAATAACCAGTAGAATTATAAAGCACCTGTGACATGAAGACCATCACCCCTCATTGATAGGATCTCTAGGAGCATTAATCTTAATCTGTATAAAAGGAGAGAATTATACTAGTGCCCAAAGAATGTAATTTAACTTCCTCAAATAGCTAAACACAATCCCCCTAATGAAAACTTTCCATGTCAAGTATTACTACTACTTACTACTACTACTACTACTACTACTACTACTACTACTACTACTACTACTACTACTACTACTTATTTGCTGCCTATCTCACTATGGGGCTACTTTAAGCAGCTCATAACCATAAAAAACAAGGAAATAAAAAGGAAATTTAAAAAAACTAAAATAATATAGCAATAAAACAAGGTATGATGTATGATTATTTGTATTCTCCGTAATCTTCAACATTCCAAAAAAATGTTATTCATATAGGAATTATAGAGCCATACGGTTAGCATTTTCATTGTGCAATAGAAAAATTCTCAAACTCCTTGACATAGTATGGAACACAATTTTCCAACCCAACTTTTTATACCAAGCCTGTAGCTCTTATCCTCTAAAGCTTCATTTCTGAACAAGACAAATAATAAACAAAAGGCATAAGTGTGGTTAAAGACAGCCAAGCATCTAACGCAAGTACCTGTGTGAGTCCTCTGGTGCGCTTTTAAGTGTGAGCTCTTTGTATATACTTTACGGCACCCATTGAACTGACAACGATGAACCCTCTTCTTGTTTTCCGGGGATGCGTCAGCCCCTAATCCGCCTTGTTCACTGTCACTGAGTGCGCACTTTGTTGTGTTAGCTGGTGCTATTACACCAACCTTTACAGAGCTGAGGGTGGATTTCTTTGTCACTAATTTCAGTGTAACTGTGCCATCAACTGCAGAGATAGTTTGTGAGGTTTTTCCAAGATGGCGGCTGAGTTCAGGAGAGGAAGGAGGTGTTAGTGAGGTCACTGCGTTGAGTTGGGCCTGGTTGACAGCAGCATAGCCCTCTGTAGAGGAGCTGGTAGGTTGCAGGCTGAGACAAGTCTCAGACAATAGTTTGTCCCTCGAGAGAATAATGTCCATGTTGGCATTTTTGTCACAGGTACTCATATCTACAGGTAACAAGAGTGGGTCCAATGGATGAATGCTGTCTTCTGTGCCGTGAGCAGAAGTATGAAAAAAACAGTCCAGGTCCTCCACAAAGCTTTCTGGGTTCTTCCTGGGTTCTGTTTGAAGGTAGCGTTCCAGCTCAAGGCATGTCTGTAGAAACAAAAGGAGAAAGGAGCCATCACTGGACAGTCAAACCCAACTGCAACCATTACCAAGAAGAAAAGAGTGTCTGAATAAAGCCAGCTGCCACAGTCAGAGATAATATAAAAGCAAATCAATAGCAATAGCAGTTAGACTTATATACCGCTTCATAGGGCTTTCAG